GAGATGATCAGTGCTGTTTAATTCCTTAGAAAAATGCCTGGTTTGACCCAGGCCAAGCAGCAGCCCCCCAGATGGAGCCTGAAATTGCCACTCCTGCAGGAGTTAGCATGGGGCACAGATCTTTGCTGTTTGCATGTGCCTGCTCAGTGCAGGAAGCTCAGGAAGTTTAAGGTGTGGACAAAAACCTATAGGATGAGCCCCACCAACCCTAAAAGCTCTGTCTTGCTTTTAGACATAAATAAAGGAGATACATAGCAGAAAGGGTTAATTGTACAGGTCAGATGTGCTGCTCCAGAACTTGAAAGCTCCAGAAGAAGAGGGAAGTATCTGCATTTGCAAATGTGTGTGACTCTGTGTGGGTGTGAGTGTAAACATGCACATTTAGAGGGAAAAATCTTTCAAGAAAATCACAGAATATCCACCACCTTTTTTTTACAAGGAAAAGAGATGCCAAGATCTTTGAACTAATTATTCTCTGTGAATCACTCTTGCAGTTAAAAGCCATACCAGCATTTCCAGAAAAACTTTCTGTTCAGTATATGTAAACAAATTTAAAGAAAACAAACAAACAGACAAGAAAATGTGAAGATAAAAGGCTTGAGATAATAAGATTAAAGATGTTAATTGGAGACTGTGGCTTCTACAGACTGACAGTGGTAGCTGAGTTCCTACAAAGGACTCCAGCTCTGCCCTGCCAGTCCCAGTCATTGTGAGCCTGTATCCCAGCAATGCTCTCCCCAAACCCACCTCATTGTGCAGCTTTGACTCAGAAAAGCACACAGGCACATGTTGAGGTGACAGGTTTAGAGTTTTAGGTTTGTGCATGTATTTAAGATCTTTGGGTCTGTGTTTAAATTCATAATTACAGGCAAGTGTCTGCACACGTGCTTTGAACTTGGGCAGGGATCCCCAAAGCATGCATGTCCCCCCAGCCCACTTCTCTCTGGGTCACTTCATTCCTCACCAAGGATGCCAACACTTCTCACCCCTGCCTCAAACCAAGACCTCAGTGTCCTCTGCCTGCACATCATCGTTGTTCCCCATGCAGAGCCCATGATTTTAAAGTCTTGAAATAATAAGCTTTCCAAAGGAGGTGAATCGTCTAAAGAACAGGTGGGGAAAAAAACAGGGCAGAAATTTTATGATGTGTTTGTTTTACTTTACACACTGGATTTACAGCTGATGAACTCACGGGGAGTCATCTATTGTTCTTATTCTGGCTGAATGGTTTTATTTGGAAAGGGAACCAGTGAATTAAAGCATTTGACTTTAATTATCTCACAGTTTTTGGTGTTGTTAAAAAATGCCTATCAGTTTTAAGCCTGTATTTTCCAGGAAACCACTGGGTGAGTGTGTCTACAAGGAAAGCACGCTCATAGGATAGGCAATGACAACATCAGGAGTTGGAAGGCATGTCAGTATGATTCTTTCCCACTGGTATTCACATGCACCATGCTATTGTAAGTGTATTGCTGCACTTGCAATACTCTGCAAGAGATGGTGTCAGCCAGAACAAGAAGCCAAGAAACACACTATGTCTTTACAATTAAGCTTTTTTACCTAACAAGTGTTTATTCAGGTTCACTCCAATTGCTGAAAAAGATAAAAGATTCCCTGAAAAAGGTTCACATCTCCTGTATGAGATACAGCCAGAGCAGATGAGGGAGAAAGGAAAAGCCTGTGCAATAATAGAGATGGGCTAAATGCATGGCAACAAAAACATTTCAGCCTGAGAAGCTGCTACTGGTTCGTGGGCTGCCAGCAGGGCAACGTGCCAAAACGCTTCTGAAATGCGACTGCGGTTGCAGAGAGCAATAAGAAAACGTCTCACATGCCAGTGCAAACCTCTGCTATCCCAACAGAAAGCACAGAGGAAATGGGAATGCAAGCAGAAGCCTGCAAGACCAGCTCTCACTCCCTGACATACTTGTCACCCAGCGAGGTGCGAGACAGGAGGCGACAGAAGTGTGCTCACCCCCTGCTCATAAGTAGCGACAAATCCTGCCTGCAGTTTCTGTAGTTCTTCTGAAACTGTTGCTCCAAAGTGCAAATCTGGCCTGGTTACGTAAAGGCTTCTGCTGTGTCGGACCAGCTCTCTTCAGATGAAGCAGGACGTGACTGTGCCTCTGGCCAGAATGCCAGGGGTTTAATTACTGCCTCTGCCACCAACGTCCCACCAGCCTCACACCAGCCATGACATCAGCTGCAGAAATCTGCTCTGAGTCTCTAAAACCCAGCTGGGTTCACCCCAGCCATGACGTCAGCTGCTGAAATCTGCTCTGAGTCTGTAAAACCCAGCTGGGTACGTGCTGTCTCCCACCCCTTCCCCTGCCTGGGTGGATGCTGCATCTCCCTGGGCAGAGCTGCTCTCCCACGTGGTGTATATCCACAGTGCTAAGCAAGGAGGGAGAGCAATGGGCTGAAATAAAACCCTCACTGGAGAATACTAACTGCTTGGGTCTTCTACCCTTGTTTGGTTTCATGTTTTTCCCTTGCAGGTTTTCCTTGCTGCCTTAGCCTCGAAGAACTCCTCTATAACTGGCGCCCACACCAGCCAGCCATGCCTGAGAGGGAACCTTCTGAGGCAGAGCATTTCTGGCATATTTTCTGCTTGCCATCTGTCTGTAGGGAGCCATCCTCAGGGCAGGAGCCTTCTGTGACACAGGTGATATTCTGTTGGTCCCTATCAGATGATAAAGCTGTTATGAATTAAGACAGGATGAGCAGGGACTGGTGCTGTATATACACAGTGTGCACTGCACCCAGGTGAGTGGGAGGTAAGAATGGGAGTCTGGAGGGCTACTGAGAACCTCAGGGGTCAAACACAGGATTTATCTAGGTTGATGCTGGATATTTACACTGTAAGTGGCAGTTCTGGGCTCCCTTAAAACCCTGTGGAAAGAAATAAACAATTGTAGACATGTTTCCACAGGAACCATGATGGCTCATTCCACCCTGAATTCCTGAGAGTCTCAGTGTCAAGCTGATGGTGCTGAAGTTGGACACCTGAAGATGGTGAGATGAGTCTGACTCCAACACACTTGATTTCTCACAGTTTTCCTTGCTGATATATTGAGAACATTTTTCAATTGGGTGGCCTTTGAGTGAAAAACAGTACCCATCTTATTTTTGTTTAGAGTTATAGTCAATGGCAGCACTGGCTTTTCCAACATATGAACAAAACCCATGGTCTTGCTAACATAATTTCCACTGATTCCCAGAACCCAGCATACATATGCATTTTTATGCTAGAAAAAACATACATACCTTTGCTAGAAAAGACTCCAATATTTGAATGTAATAAAACTGTCATTAAAATTAACTTCTTTTCCCAAGTAAAGCTCTTATGGAAAAAAAAAAAAAATCTAAAGGAGATGTACTCTCAGCAAAGAGGACTAGATACATATCCCTGTCAGAACACATGGAAGAAACTAGAACTAATATCACACAGACACTTCCATGCTGTAAAAGTCTGCCAGGTTAGGAAGTGGATTTACAGAGAGAAAAGCTTCCTAGTTATTCTCTGGCACAAATCAATGTCACAGAGCTGCTGTGATGGAATGGGAGCTTCATACAGCAGCACTGTTATTACATATTGATTCAGAGTGTCCTCAGGGTCTGTGCATTTAACTGGTGCACTACTTTCAGAATGGGTTTTGGTGTGTCCCATCATGCTGCATTCCTGCTTTTGGAAAGACCTGATGGAATGATGGAATTGTTTTCCATAAGGACACTGAAACCATGGCAGTTTCTGAAACAGGTGGCAGCAAACATGGGCACCTTAGGACCACCCACCCTGATAGGACACCAACTTGCTATTTGGGTCACGGTTCTGGGAAAATATGGCAACCTTGGCTTTGAAGGACAAATGGGAAGGTCAATTCTTCTGCAGATGGTTTGATCATTGAATGCCTTTGCCCTCCAGCTCCACTTGTTTAAATGCATAGCGCTTCTTTAGGGATAGGAGTGGCTGCTGACCTCGATATTTAATAATTAAACCTGATCATTGCAAAAAGGCAAAACCATCGCTTTTTGACACAGATGATTTTGGGAAGGAGGACATTTGGGACATTCAGGTTGCCCTTGGAAAGCCCTCTGTCACCCTGGGAATTGCCCACCAGAGCTGAAACAGCAGAAGAAAGTCACATAAAAATGGGGAGATTAAGAAAAGGGAGTGATGTGGGGAAACTGGAAGAAGCAGGGAGAGACCTGGAGGAGGAAACAGCTGGAAAATATGCTTTATTTATTCTGTGGACAAACAGTGCAGCTCCTCCATCATTAACAATTAATCACTCTGGGTGCTCTGGCCCAAGACTGACAAAGGGTTTAGGTGTGGTGACAGAAACTCCTCCACCTCCCTTCTGTGTCCTTGGATCCAGCAGGGAAATATCCAAACCCCAGCTACTCACCTACACCTTCAATATGAGGTACCATAATTGCTGGGTAATTGCAATTAATACCTAAAGTGGCCAAGATGAAACACTAAGAAAATGCACCTCCTGCCTCCTCCAGGTGGATTTTGAATCCCACTGGTACATAGGAACAAAGGATGATTGATCCTTGCTTTATCTCTTGTGTTGTCATGCCCAGATTTGGGCACTGTGACACTCACCAAAGGCAAGGCAGACACAGAAATGTCACCTTCAGTCTGAGATCAATCCAGCACATCCTGTCAAAGCACCCACGCTGGCTGGAGGGAAGGAAAGATGTCTTGGCTCATCTTGGCACCAGACCACTGGGCAGCCAATGAGGAATGACACAGAAGACACAGAAGAGATGGAGGAGGACCACCCAGCCCAGTAAAAAGAATATTCTTCTGGTAAGGTGTGAAGGAGAGGGATCTTCAGGTATCCCTCCCTGAGCATCATTTGTGCATGTTGTCCAAATAATTGTTTGTGAACAACAGCCTTGGTATTAAGGGAAGATTACTAAAGCACCTGGGGATATAAAATATTCAGTAGACAGCCAGTGGACTAGAAGCTAATGGGTGAGGGCCTTACCTTCCAGATAAAGCATCCTGCCAGGAGTAAGCAGATACACAGGGATCCCACCCACTGCAGCACCCACTGGAAGTGTCACTCACAGCACCTGGAAGGAGAAAAAAATATCTTTAGCAAACCTGCTTTCACTTGTAAATTCCCATTGATTTTGATGCTTCCTACAATATGAGTAGAGTGGGACAATCTCCCAAATTGTGTCTGTGTTTCAGAGGCAAATCCCTTTATGGAGAGCACTCCAAGATCTTCAATTAACTTATAGCCATATCACACCATGAAACTCGTGCCACTCATCCAGCAGCTGTCATCTAGTCCTCAGAGAGCACAATGCTCTCTTCTGAGCCATTAGAAGCATTCCTAAAATACCAGGGGGATTCTTTAGTGTATGTGCCTTCAGTTTTTGGCCAGCAGACCTGTGCCTCCCATGGTCTACCTTTCACAGGTCTGTTAAAGTTAAGGAAACCAACTTCTTATCAGCAGGTTTCAATTTACCAGCCCACCCAGAGTATTTCCAGAGTTTACAAATTAAGACAGCTTACAACCTGCTGTGTTAGATCTTCCCATCAAAATTCCCATTGAACCTCTCCCTCTCTGGGTAACTAGATGTGAGAGGACCATGACCCAAGGGGGCATGGCTGCAGGCATGAAGAAGCCTTCTCACTCAAGTTATTCATCAAATGAATAACATGAATGAGTCTTACTGTGCTGTGAGCCTCCCAGGTCTCAAAGAAGTTGAAGCTACAGAGCTGAAAGTCCAATTTTGTCTCTCCCCTTGGGAAATATTCTCCCATAAGTGGTTACTGGACGAACATTGTGAACATCCTTATTGCACCACACTGTATCCAGTTCCAGAACTCTGTTACAGAATAGAAAATGTTAAATTTAAAATGTTAAAAGCCACAAATCTGCAGCATTAAAGTGCTGACTAATCAAGTAGTTCCATAGGATAAGGCAACCCCCAACTGCAATGCTGAGACAAACGTGCCTGTGTGTACATGCAAGGATGAGTTCTTTGTGACTCCACTGCCGCAGTGATCACAGACAACAGGAAGGCTCAAAAATTCTCAAGTACCCCAAAGCTTTGGGAAAACAGACAAAGCTGAGAAGCTAGACTCCCCCAGTACCCTTGGTGAGAGAAAGACAAGTGGAACCTCATTATTGTGACATCAAAGGCAGTGTCACTGTTCCTTCACTGCACTTGGGACTCAGCTGTCCTGATTAGGTGAGGACAGGTTTGTTCTCCTCTGCTCTCTCACCTCTGCCTGCAGTACAGGCTCAGGGGACTCTTGCCCTGCTTTGTCACTGACCTGCTAAGCCACTTTCTCTCTCAGCACCTCTGTTTCCTCATCTTTGAAATGAGGATTACGACCTCTGTGAGACACTTTGATGTCCACAGATGAAGTGTGCTGCAGCACATATGAGCATTCTCTCTATTTTAAATATACTAGGCAATATATTGCTGTGGGGCTTTTTTCTTTTGTTTAATTCACTTTGATTATTAAAAATGGAAATCAATGAACCACCCTAAAATATATGTGTGTGTATATATATATATATATATATAAAGGGAAACATTTTGGATCAGCTTTCTCTTTTGAAGATAATTATGGGAGAGAAAGCAATTTTGAAACAAAAGTGGCAAAGTGCAATGCTCAGAAACTGAGAGGCAGAATGTATTTGTCCGCCCCGCAGTTTACTGTTGCAATATTCCTCTTCCATTTTTTAAGTCACGTAGAAAACATTCTTCCTAGATAAATTATTTAGCCCTGAATTGCTGCAATGCACAGCAGGATGCCTGTAAGAGCAAAGTGCTGCTCATGGAGGGTACCTCACATGACCCAGACAGGAAGAGGAGTTCAGACTGCAACAAGTGCTGGGTGGGAATGCAGTACCTGAAACCCATGTGCACAGGCTGGGAAACCTGGCTGGATCAGCCCCTCAGTGCAGCTCCCAGCTCTCCTTTTCCTCACAGGAATGGCCTTGTTCCCAGCCTGGGCAGATGTGCTGACTGAATGGGGTCTTCTGAAGGCATTGTGGACGTTGTGAGTTTTACACTGTACCTGCAGATGTTTGGGACTCAGTCAGATGCTGGCTCTGCTCCTGATGCACCAAAACCAGCAAACCACTTTGGACAAACCAGTGGTGTGCAGGAAATCCAGCAGGGACTGCATTGCCCACATATGACTAAGTGCAGAATTTGCTCTGCATAGAACTAGGACTGCTGGGCCACCAATTAAAATGTAAAGATGAGATTCCCATGTTCCACATTTCATTTGCAGAAAGTACTTCAAAAGCAAGAATATTAAGGCAGTTTTTTTTAAATTACAGGTGAAGAATATTCCCTGCAGAGGTTTTAAAAATAGTGAACAGCCCTCACCCTGTCCTGCAGAAAGTGAAAAGCTACAGGAAGCCTCTTCTGGACTGAGCAGTGTCATGGTATGTTTGGATACCTCATCTTCGCAGTACAAGGTACTTCATAAATTCAACTATATTTTATGAGCTCATTAGGAAAGCAAACAGGAAACCCTGGCAAATAAAGACTCAATCCCCTTTAAACATAGGAATCTAACATGTCATTTCACTCATTCACCACTTAATTCATTAGGTTTCCAACACCCAGGTTCTCTAATCCATAACAGCCCTTCTGGCACCATGCCCTGTCTATGTCCTGCCCCCACTCTGAGCATGTAGCCCTGCTCTAAGGAGATCCCCTAAACTCACCAGGACATGGTCCTGGCCAGCCTGCTCCAGGGAATACACCTGGGACAGATGTTGGACCAGGAGACCTCCACAGGTCCCTTATGCTCTACACTTGGGTGGGATACTATGATTTGGTTTGTCTCCTAAGGCACCTCAACTCAGACCAGCTGTTAGGAAGAATGCTGGGACAAGGAATGATCTCAAACTCAATCCTCCTTCAGGATTCATCCCCAAACAATAGTTCCCCACTCCAGAAAATCCTGTGGCAACACATTCAGAAAAGACCATTTTATTGTGGACATCAACTCCTGGGGGGCCAGGAGTCACAGCCTTCAGCTGCTGAACACGAATCCACACCTGCAGCAACAGAGTCCCAGAACTCTGAGAAAACCAGAAGGCAGAAAGAGGCAGGATTTTGTTCCCTTTGGGAGAGCAGCCCCTCAGCAGAAAGGACCACTGGTGAGTTGTCACCTGGCACTGGCACCTGAGGACAGCAGAGCCAGGACTCTGTGCTCCCAGGCTCCCTGTCCTGCATGACAGGTTTTCTCCCAGCACTGCCAGGGAGCACATACCAGTGCTGCTGGTGGCTCCCCAGACCTCTCCATCTCCCTGACTGGCACCAGTGGGACTCCACTTTGCTCCCTTCCTCCTACACAAGTTCAATCTGCACATCCCTGTACCACAGCATAGCCAGAGGCAGCTGAAAGTTTCCCACTGTCACCTCTGCTGGCCTCCACCAGTTTCTCCAGGCTCCCAGCACTGGCTGGACTCCACTGGGAGAGAGAGGAGTAGGAGAAGGTGTGCAGAGATGCCTCTACAGCTTGGCTGGAGCACCAGCACTCAGTGACAGCCCAGAGCAGAGACTCCCACTGGCATGGAGGCAGCTCAGCTCCAGCTGGGTCACCCAGGCTCTCCTGGTTCCTTGTGGTGTCCTGTGCAGCAGGAATGGACATGGAGTGAGCTGAGCTCCAAGCCACCTCTTCTCTCTTGTCAGGCAACTCCTGCTGCAGCCACAGGGACCCCTCTCCCCAGCTGGGAGCTGTGTTCCCCATCCCACCTGTGCCTGGAGCATCCCCCAGCTTACCCCAATGGTATGTCCACCCACAGCTCTTTCTGCTGCAGAAACAGCCTCAGGCCCTGCTGACCCCAGAAGGAGAGCAGAGATGGGTCTTTGCACTCCTGGGGAAGGGCACAGTGGCAGAATAGAGGCGCTGTCCAAGCTCTGGCTCCCTCCTCTGCCCTCTGTGTGGCATGGGCACAGCTGGGAACCTCTCCTGCCTGCCTCTTAATGTGGGAAGCACGACTCACCTGACACTGGCAACGCAGGAGCCAGTGGGAAAGACGCAGATAACAAATGTCATGTCTTCATGGTGACCTCCCTGCTCTTCTTCCCCAGCCAGCTCATTCCTCCCACCTGGCACCCACAGCTGGTCCAGGGGACAGAGGGAGTTGTGGGTGCAGTTTGGTGCCCTGTTTGCTACAAGGAGGGGCAAGCAGTGAGCTGGAGGTGGCTTCCAGTGTGTCTGACATGCATTCGTGTACATACCCTCAGATCCTGGGGCAAACTTCAGTACACAGTCTTTAAAACTATTAGATATTTCTGATACCACATGTGCAGCAGTTCTGTGTGCAACCAGCCAACTCAGCCACCAGGACCACCTCCTTAAACACCACTTTACACAATCTGTTACTGGGAGCCTCAGAGAACAAACTTCTCCAGGGGATTCACACACAGCCAGAGCTCAAACCCTAAGGGCAAAACCCTCGACCGCAATGATTCAGGGGGCAACAAGAAGCAGTGAAGCCACATGAAATAAATGTCAAGAGAGGGTTGCTGCTCCTGGCCCTGGGTTCCCTCCTCCCTGCCCGGGGATGTGACAGCACGAGGCTGTGAAAGCACACAGACTGCTGAACACTCCCTCCACGCTGTCCCTGCTGATAACTGTCACTTGTGTTTCCCACGGGTGAGCATGGGAGGACAGGTCCAGGGACACTCCACCAGAACACAGCAGTGGTTTCGCCTTGGTGCACGGTGCCAGAGGAACCTGCCCTCGGAACGCCTTGAAGCCACGCAGCAAGAGGGCATGAACAACATCTCCTGCTCTGCTCTCCAGCCCCTGCCAAACCCCTGTAATTGGCAGTACCACCCTCTCCCAAGTCCTGCCTTGGACACCCTGCCCAGGGTAAATTTGTACCTGAAAAAAGCCCTCTAACTGAGGATTTGCACTGGCAAAGCTACAAAGGTAAAAAAAAAACCCAAAACCACTGTGCAATCCAAATAATTGTTTATCAGCACTGCCATTCAGGTGTAATCCTGAAAGGAGCACTTCCTCTAACTGTTAAACACTTGGCTCCAACCACTGAATCACATGTATTCCCAAACATTCTCCTTTATTGTATTACTCAGCTTTTTCCGAGTCTTACAAAAACCAGGAGTGGGGTGCCTTGCCACCCAGAAACCAAAGGAAGCTTCCATGAAACCAGCAAACACCTCCCATCCTCTCAACATTGTCATTAAAAAAGCAAAACAAACCAGAGAGGTTCTACAAGTCAGCCTATAAACCCAGGCATGAGGAGAGTAATGTCAGTGGTAATGGGGCAAGAAAGGCAGGGTAATTATACCACACCAAATTTGCAATCGTACTGCATTCCTTGCCAGTGAAGGCCAGCTAAGAATTAGATACACCTTTTTAAATCATCAAAGGGAGTGGCTGCAAGATACAAGGTGCTGGGATTAAGATGAAGTTCTGGGTTTGCCAGTTCTCAGCAATGGCTTTGGTGGCTGGGCATGTCATTAATTGCTCCCAAATGGTGTTCACACCATGCCACTTCTTTTTAATCTTTACATGATTCTCTGCATTTCAAGAGTCCCAGGCTCCCACTGAGCAAAAGGCTGTACGAACCCAGAAATGAAAGACAATACCTGTCCACAAGGTTTTTTGCACTTGGCCAACGAGACAAGTTTAGTAGCTTGTACTTCAGCACCATTTCAGTGGTGCACAAATATTTATGTTGCCCCAGCTACTACCACAAGGTCTGCAAGCTCAGACCCTCAAGCAGGATAACTCAAGAGCTTCCCTGCCAAGAAAGCTGTTAAAAATACTGATTGGGGGCTATTTTGTACAGGATTTTACAAGCACTACATGGGTGAAGGAACAGATTTGGCTCAGATGTCTACATTTTCAGAAGAACAAGCAGAGGAGCTTAGGTGCAGCACTCACCCTGCAGCTGTTTGCAGAGGGGGATTTCCTGGGAAGCTGGGTCCCAAGGAAGCTCCTCCATGGGTGAGAAACATGGTGGAATCCTGCTCCATGGACTGCTGGGCAATGCAGGAAATCTTCTGCTGGAGAACACCTCCCTACAGGAGTGACCATCCCACAGGCAGGACGGCAGCACACCGAGGCAGAGCTCCTCTCTGGTTGCCTCACACTGTTCATGGTATACAGAGAAAGATTTTGGTGTCCTCCTGGACTGTTTCAGGCTATGAGGATAACACGGCACAGAAACACAGAGGCACAGGCCACCAGAGCTTTAAAAACTTATGAATGTCCTTTTCCATCAAAATTTAATAGTGCGGGTTGTTCCAGTCAGTCCATGGCCAACAAAACAAATGCTGCATTTGTGCTAGTTTTGGGAAAACATGCCAAAAAGACAAGCACAAGGCAAAGCAGCTAGCCAAATGGACAAGTCTTGTTATTTAATTGTTTTGAAATGAAAAAGTTCATTTAAAAGCAGCTACAAAATAGATACATAATGATGGCCTCTCCCTTCATAAAACATCGTTCTTTGGCACAAACAACTGGCTGGCCTGATTTTATGTCCAATGAATTTAATTTTATCCAACAAAGTGTCTCTCTGTACAGCAGAGAAGACAAAGGGTTCTGAAAAGAGCTTTTTGGATAACATGTAACACCAAAAAACTGAAAAAAAAAAAAAAAAAAAAAGCTTAGGATGATTTCTGTTCTCTCTTCGGCCAACAGAAAAAGATAACATAATGCAGTTGGCATCATCATCACGGTGAGGTGAGCAGCATACAGGAGGTGAAACACATCAAGCTAATTCCAGTTCCACTTTGTGGTAAACTTGTGAATGCACTCACCTGACCACTGTAAAGCCAGTTGTTTCTCATGTGTGATGGGTTCATGTTACTGCACTATTTACAAATTCATTCTCTAGCAAGATGCTTTTCCATGTGGTGATGAGACATTCAGGGTTTTGGCAAGAAGAAAACAGTCCAGTGGTTCTCCCATGCCGAGACCTGGGCCACAGGGATGCTCGCTGCCTCTTGCCCAGCTGTGCTGGTACACCCTGAAGGAGCCATGACTTCAGTACGTGACTTCCAAACATGAGCTTCTATGAGCCATCTCCAACTGGGCATCCAGAGAGGAAAACATGCCCAAATTAGTGGGCACTACTGAAAAAATAGCCACAGCTAAACACTTGCACAATCTGTTCTTTACACTCAGTACCTCTCGATTTCCCAAATGGCATCACCTACTGATTGCAGGTGTTTCCCAACAGACACCATCATATTGAAACCCTAAATATTGCAGTGACTTTGCTTCCCCCACTCCACTTTACCCAATGTAATTAACCCTGACAGTGCCTCGGAGGAAGGAAGGACGAGGACACTCACCAACCCAGCCCAGTGTGCAAGCAAGAGCCACAAAAAGCCCAGTCCCTGTGTGAGCTCCTGCAGAGCACAGGCCAATTCCAGTTGCTGTGTCACGTTCCTAAGGGGATGCTCATGCCATCAAATCCCAAGCGACAAGAAAGCCTTCCTCAATTCCCAAGACCTTGAACTCATCAAAAGGACCATGACAGCGCGTTCGGCGGGGCGGGTCACCCCTGCTGTGGTCCAGGTGAGGCACGAGCAGGGCCGGTGGTGGCCGAGCTGCCGCAGAGTGGGGCACCCGCAGAAGGGACACCCGCAGAAAGGACACCGCAGAGGGCACACCGCAGAGGGGACACCGCAGAGGGGACACCGCAGAGGGCACACCCGCAGAGGGACACCGCAGAAGGGACACCCGCAGAAGGGACACCCGCAGAGGGGACACCGCAGAGGGGACACCCGCAGAAGGGACACCGCAGAAGGGACACCCGCAGAAGGGACACCGCAGAGGGCACACCGCAGAGGGGACACCGCAGAGGGCACACCGCAGAGGGGACACCGCAGAGGGCACACCCACAGAGGGCACACCGCAGAGGGCACACCGCAGAGGGCACACCGCAGAGGGCACACTACAGAAGGGATACCGCAGAGGGCACACCGCAGAGGGCACACCGCAGAAGGGACACCCGCAGAGGGCACACCACAGTGGGGACACCACAGAGGGCACACCGCAGAGGGCACACCGCAGAGGGGCACCACAGAGGGCACACCGCAGAGGGCACACCGCAGAGGGCACACCGCAGAGGGCACACTGCAGAGGGCACACCCGCAGAAAGGACACCCGCAGAGGGCACACTGCAGAGGCACACCGCAGAGGGACACCCGCAGAGGGGACACCACAGAGGGCACACCGCAGAGGGCACACTGCAGAGGGCACACCGCAGAGGGCACACACACCGCAGAGGGCACACCGCAGAGGGCACACCGCAGACCCCGCCGCGTTGCACACCCGCGGGCACGGCGTGTCAGCGGGAGCTCACGGGCACGGCCCGGCTTATGCACTGCCCGCAGCTCGCCGGAGGCTGCGGGCACGGCGGGCCCGGGGCAGCACCGGCCGGCACGGAGTCACTCCCGCACCTCGGGGCTCTGCCCACCGACCCCGCTCGGGGCCTCACCCCCTGAGGGCTCCTCGCCACGGGGCACGGAGGGGAGAGGCGTGGAGGCTCATTTCGGAGCAGCGTCCCCCCAACACCTCTGGAGGAAGGGAGCCACCTAGGACGCCCGGCTCGGCACATTCTCTTCGCCGAGGCGTGCGAGCCCGGACAGAAAGGCGATCCCTGACACGACGGGCGCGGGGCTGCTGCGGCCCCTCCCCCGGCAGCCATCACCTGCAGGCGCCAGGTGAGGGCCCGGCGGGGCCGCGCTCTGCCCGCCCGCTGAGGGCCGGCCCCGCCGCGGGGCTGCGAGCGGAGCAGGGCGGCAGCCCCCGCCCCGCCCTGCCCGGCTCCCCTCGGGCCGAGGGCTGGGCTCCCCGCCGGGCGAGGCAGTGCCAGCCGGCCGCCGGCCACCTCCCCTCCTCCTCCTCCTCCTCCTCCTCCTCCTCCTCCTCCTCCTCCTCGCCTGCCTACTTCTGCAGCGGCTCCGCTCCGGCTCGGCCGCTACCCCTCCGCCGCCGGGGCCGCCACAGAGCCCCCTCCCTCCCTCCATCCCTCCCTCCCTCCCTCTCCCCCGCCCTGTCCCCAGCGCCGCCGCTTCCACAAGATGGCGGGGACCGTGGCGGAGCGGGACGCGCTGGTGAGTGCGGCCGTGGCACCGGGACGGGGCCGGGACGGGGCCGGGACGGGGCCGGGACGGGGCCGGGACGGGGCCGGGCGCCGGGCAGGGCTCCCGCGGAGCGGGGCGGGCTGGGGGCTCCGCCGGCCCTGCCTCAGCGCTCTCCTTCTCACCTGCAGAAAATAGAGGACGGGCATTTAAACAACTCGCTGGGATCTCCGGTGCAGGCTGATGTGTACTTCCCTCGCCTGGTAAATCACCTTTCTTCGTTTTTTTTTTTTTGTTTTGTTTTGTTTTTTGTTTTTTTTTTGGTGGTGTGTTTTATTTTGTCAATGCCTTTACTGTCCCCCGCCCCCGCTCAGCTCCGGCCGCTGGTGATGCCGAGCTGACCCTCACCACCTTCCGCCCGTCCTTTCCAGATCGTCCCCTTCTGCGGGCACATCAAAGGAGGAATGAGGCCGGGAAAGAAGATCTTGGTCATGGGCATAGTGGACCTCAACCCCGAGAGGTAACACCTGCACAGGACTGCCGGTGCTGGGGAGGGGGCGAAGCGGGGCGGCCACCCGCACGTACACACACACACATCCGCACGGATCCCTGCTTTCTGGAAAGGATTATTTTTATCATTTTAAATATAGCATGCTGGTTTCTCCTTTGACCCATAGAGGGGGCATTTCTTCAAGGGATTCCGTTTTCACTGGGGAGTGAAGCATATCAAGCATATATATCTGCATATATGTACAAATATATGCCCAACGCCTTGCACACACACACATATGTACTCCATAACCATGTTGTTGTCCCTGCTGAGCTTTCAGAGAGCTCTGAATGAGCTGAGCTGTCTTCCAGCCTGTGCCACTACATGGCTATAATAAGCTGAGAAATAAGACTGGTGGCATTTGGGGCTTGTTTGCTTTTTTTTCTGGCTGAATGAGAGCTGTTCTGTTTGTGTTGCAGCTTTGGCATCAGTCTGACTTGTGGGGAGTCAGAAGATCCTCCTGCGGATGTAGCCATAGAACTGAAAGCTGTGTTTACAGAGAGACAGTTTGTCAGAAACTCTTGTGTAGCCGGAGAATGGGGGGAAGAGCAGTCGTCTATTCCTTACTTTCCATTTATACCGGACCAGCCTTTTAGGGTGAGTACCAGGATGGCAGTGGCTTGCACCATGTCTGATAAAGTGTCATTTGACACGAGTCGCAGCAGAACCTGACGTGCCTTTCATGAAATCACAGTGCAGCCGGCACTGCTCCGGTTGAGACACCAGTTGCTGGTTTGTTTGTATCCATCGAGTTGCGTGGAGATCCCGCTGCTACGTGCAGCTGCAGGCGGCTCAGATGGGGCTGTGAGCACCTCACCTGGGCGCTATGACAGGATTGTAATACTGTGTGATGGAGCGCAACTTCCTGAGCTTAGTTTTATAACCATAAATTAAGAGGTACCTCTATGTCATTAGAGCATTACAAGTTATTACTGGAGAATGTTAATGTTCAGTGGGGCTGCTGTAAATATTGATGGGTTTTTTAATGGACATACTGTTTGCAATTTAGTGCAGCTAATAAGGATCATGTTCATCCTTTGTCCCCAGGGATGTTACGTTAAGGTTGACCGTAGCTCTTCGTGTTAGCAGATTAAACAGCTAAGCAATAGTGGCATTCTTTTCTGAACCCTGGGATTAAACCTTCCATCAAACTTAAATCTGTAGTCACTTGAAAACAGTGTACATGGAAGTGCTGTGGTGCTGTGGATGGACTGGGTTGACCTAGAAGCAGATTCCCATCTGTAGTGTTTATGGTTATGTGAAGATGTCTTTGCAAATCAGCACTAACAAAGTATGCAGCTGCAGAGGGCTGCTTCCCTCTCACTACATTGAGGAAAAAAGGCTGCATGCCTTTTCCATGCAGCTGACCCAGAAAACCCCTCCTCCTCCCTGTCCCTCTTACAAAACCTCACTGGCCCCTCTGCTAAATGCCAGTACTATGACCAGCTGCCAAACTCTCTTAATCCTTCTTGCCCCCAAGATAATCTCCCCCAGCCCCAAAAGCTCACCATCTCCCCAGATGCTTGATGTTAAGAG